AAACATAAATTGAACCGGTTAAAGAAAGACAGAAACAAAACGCGTAAACCATTATCTTTAAAATGTAATCGCCTTTTATTCGAAAATGTCATCGCACTGGATAAACATCAGCGGCAATGATGAAATTGATGATTTATTGGAGAAATTTGCGGTGTGGACAAAATCAAAATCGCCGTCACAATAAAATCAGATTGAATAGAACGTAGCTGTCAATTTTTTAAATAAGCTTGAATTTAAATGAGCACCACCATGTGTAGGCTAAGCTGCCTTACGCCTTCAAATCAAATTAATATGCAATGCGAGAAACAACGTTACGTATTCTAATGAAAATCAATATTCATATTTTAATTTATCCTAAGTAGAAACCATAATAAAACATGTTTTATAGGAAATAAAGTCTTTAATAATGTTTAACTTTATTTATTTTTATGTTTTGCTAAATTTTAAATTTACACCAGGGCACAGATTATTATTTCCAGGCGTAAATAAATTTTTTTTACACCTTAATTTATCTTACCTGGATTCACATTTTCTATTTAGGCTGGAACATTCGTTTAAGCCTATGCTGTTGTTCATTGTCATCTGAAAAAGAGTTTTATTACATTTATTAATCATCAAAATTAATAATAATTAAATAAAAATGGCCTGAAATCGATATTACTACCTATAATACTGAGATGGCCATAGCGGAAACAATTGACTAACTACAATTGTTGACTAAACGTCAGAGAAACTATAAGGTTTTGTGTTTTCGGTGATTAAAAGTTAAAAAAGGAAAGTAAAATGGAGCAAAAACCTTTATTTGTTCATGTTATTTTAAGACGTAAGTATACAATATAAATTAAAAGTTTCATTGATAGCTGAAAGTTTTAATTGTTTAAGCGGCTGCACCTATGATTGATCAAGATGCTTTGAACATCTTCTTGGGGTTTGTCTCAAGAGCTCTTAGAAGGGATATTGCTCAAATAATGGAAAAACATGGTACGTTAAACAATACCATAATAATTAATATAAGAATAGTAATTTTGATTATAATGCTACGTAATCAGTGCAAGAGTAGAACCCTCATTACCTTTTTAACCTATAAATAGAGATAAGAAAATAAAAAAATTACATTATTGTACGAAATTAGTCAAAGGAAAATAGTTAAATAATTGATATTTATTAAATCATGACTTATTTTTTCATTCGTTTACTAGAGAAGGACAAGAGAGACGGAAATACTGGTAGATCTAACAAGAGGAAAAGATTACAAACGCCATTAAACGTAGAGACTTTTGCTCAAATAGACGGTACATTTTTGACTTTATATATTTCTTTTTTTTTAATTCCTTATATTGCAGTGATGGTGGCTATTTAGGTGAAGTAGATTTTTCAGAAAATAAATGTAATTTTTGCTACAATTAGATTTTGTTTTACAAAAAAAAGTACCTACTTAAATAAAATAATTGTATTTGCTGAAAATACGTTAAAAAGCCCTTAACATGCGTATAATATAATAAAATAATTCGAAGTGGTCTGTATTCTGTCGAATCTGCCAGACGCGGATCGCGATTTCGATCTTTTTGGATCTCATCGGCGCGTCGCAGGCAGCTCCGACAGAACACAGACAAATGTAGCATCGTGCTACAGATGGCGTTTACTGCGCCATTTGTAGTATTTTCTACAACGCACTGTTAAGACAGCAGGTAAAAGTTGGTCTGTGTTCTGTCGGAGCTACCTGAGATCCAAAAAGATCGAAATCGCGATCCGCGTCTGGCAGTTTCGACAGAATACAGACCACTTGGAATTATTTTATTCGATTAAGCTAACGTGCCTATCACGTTGAGGTTGGCTACTCTGGGATTCGTTTTCAGCAAGTAGATATCCACACAAGTGGACCTTGTTGGAGCATACGTAATCCTAAAATGTAGCATCGTGCTACAGATGGCGTTACTGCGCCATTTGTAGTATTTTCTAAAACGCGTATAATATGTTCAAGTGAAGGGGTAGGTAAGTGACCGCTACACTTCTGCTAGCGCGAGAGGGTTGATATAGCAGCGGTGATGATTCGGCATCGCACCCTTAGACGAGATCGCGGCTCGTTGAATAGTCTACTTCACTTTGCTACAAACTCTGAGGTATATTCGTCAGCGTACTGAACCTAATTTTATATTTAGTTTCCTCCCGGTTTTGCACCCTTTACCTATTTTTGAATGCGCGTACCACCACTGCTGTATTGGGCTTTATTACCACTTGGAAGGTAGATAATTGCAATTGATAAAACGAGAATCAAAAAGATCGTCAGTTAATTTAAGATTTTGGAAAATAATTTTTAGTTTCTGCAAGTGCAATACAGCCAAATGGCGGTACATTGTTTTATATAAACAAATATGAAATTGATGCTGCGGTATTAACTGGCGAACGTGGAGACGAAGGTGAAGCTGTCGAGCCACAACCTAAACGGCTTTGTCCTATTCTAATGCAGCCTAAGAAGGAAGAACCCGAAGATTAAAAACTTCCTGTTTACTTATCTTTGTTCAATTTCGTTTACTTATTAAAAGTTCATCGTTAACAAAAGTTATCGTAACTGTTTATAATAACTGTAACAGTAGTTTGTAAGTTTCAAAAATTAATGTATCTGTTATACAATAAATCAAACCTATCGTTCGATATAATTCTTAAAAACTTGTTTTCTTTTTCCCAGTTTGCGGATTGACTATCTCAATTACCTACTAAAGAAAGAAATCTGTTTAAAGTTAAGCAACTTTTGTAACGACGCCGGATAAAAATGTCATTTATTATGTATGTATAGAAAAAAAAACCTGAAGAAGTTGTGGCGTTGTAGGTAGTTACGCTACAAACGATTTTTATGTAATACCTGACGTTCCCAGGCTCCAAATTGAGATATCATTTATGTATACACAATATATATATAAAGTTAAACAGTGGTGGTTCGTCATTGTTGAACTACAACACCCCCTATTTCCATTTCATTTTCATTTAATCCATTCTTTATATTTATACAATACGTAATCTTGAAGCTTAATGCATTAAAAAGGTGTAATTATCTTTATATGGAACTGTACGCTTCACAGCTCCAACGGGGTGGAGCTAGACTGTTGTGCGTTTGCGCACGTAGGGCAATTCACTGTTGCTCCTACAATATCGATTGCGGCATGCTAGTGGATGGTAGTTTTCATTACAGTCCGTGTATGTTTGATGTCTGATTCCTTTTACACAATTTTAAAACAAACCTCTCGAAAAGAAACACATATAATAATATGAATATTGACAACAGGTGTCTTAAATTCTTCAATGCGGCATTATCAATGCGAAAAGTTACAAAATTTCATGTTAGAAAGTTTTCTAATTTTTCAGGATTTATTTACCGTGCCGCTACTGATTCCTTAAGTAGCATTACACTTCTTTAAAGTTGTAGCTGAGAATTGATCACTTTCTTCTCCAAGGCCAATAATTCAGGATGAAGAAAAGCGTCACCTTGAACAACCGGTAGCTCAGTTAAATTTTGAAAACTTCTGCATAGAAAAATCGCTCCGCTCAACCGTGAATCGATTAATTAACTATTTTTAATTAACATTTTTTTTCTACCTGAATATCAGTGGTAATTAACAGAGGTGTCTCTCTTCGGCGATCTTCATCTCGAAGATTTAATTTCATTAGCACCTGCAGCCTGAACTAAAGATATTATTTTTTTATTATTTCTATACATAATTGAGTAATGTTTGATAAATAGACCGTAATTTAAGGCCAAATTGTCCAGAGCATTTAAGTTAGGAAAATCAAAGAAAATCTTGAAGAAACACGTATTGAACTGTAAAAATCGATTCTATTATTAATAACCCATATTTATTAAGTGCCACTGACCTGTAGTAAAACAAAGCTTTTTCTAACTAAAAGTTTAATTCGTAATAAAATTGTTGAAACAAATTAAGTAACAAATTGAACACTGTATTCAGCATGCACTTTCTAATCTGGTTAACTGATTAGCGTTACATAATGTCTTAGTAAGTATGTTGTTTTATTACGTCCTAATTACTCTAGAACTAGTAGTAATATTGATTATTATTATTATTATTATTAATATAACTCTTTTTCACATATTGTTAGACACTTCCGTTTTCCTGACTGATTTCCTATGAATCGAATTAACCTAAACATTTATTATTCGTTCATAATTCCGATGAAAAGTTTAATATTAATCATGTTTTCAGAACTGATAGCTAGCTAAATTTATTTGATACTTGCGTACGTAGACAGTGTCAAATTATTAAATTAAATCTAGTCTTTAAACTGCTTTTAAACAACGGTGTTTAAATACAACAGTTTCCTAAAATCGGAATACGCTCAACTTTTTCACTTAAACATGAATTTAAAGTAGTCCACCGAAATTCGGTCTTCAATGCTTCGAATAAACTAGTTAAAGAGAAACGATAAAAAAATTTCGAAATAAAAAGCTTTCTTAAACCACAAATCAAAATAGACCAAAGCGTTTCCTTCGTGAGGTATCTTTATTATATACTGATACGTTTTTAATGTGCTTCTTTTATGGAGCATAAAAAAGAAAAAACATTAGCTGATAAATGGTTATAAAATTCATTGCTCTAGTTGTTGAAGTATTCTTCCTTTTAAAAATATTGAGAACAGTAAAATACCAATAGAATTATTAGTGTTATAATTATCATTAATGTCTGTTATTATAATATTTGAAAATCTGGCATATATCTAAAGCTTTTTTGAGCTTTTGGATTTATTTCAGATATGAAGTGCCTACACTGGTTTTAT